GGGAAAGGAAAGGATTCTCATTTCAACCGTTGCGTATATTAGCTGCGACACATGAATCAAGATGCTATGACTGAAAACATTTGATTGACAGATGACCGTTGATATGATTGGCCGAATTTAGGTGTTCAGGCTGACGTAGAACTAACTGGCCTGCAGAAGATAACGAGAAAAAAAACAGGAACTTGTGGGACAATATGGTCTGATAAAGAGAACATTTATATACATGTTTAAGCCAGAATGATTTGACATTTAAATATGATTTCCCTACGAATGTTTCCAAACATTTAGACCGTGACCTGAATAGTAACCCCGCAGACCAACGAACCCCTATAACCCATAGATTTACTGAATTGGAATAATAATAATAACACTTTTTAAATCAATGATATATTCTTAAATATTTCATTAAGTTAGAATGTATCTTTAATCGTTTTTGGGGACATTTAACTGTACATTTTATGTTGTACATTTAGTCTTTGGCTTGTATTAGAATAAATAAATATTACATCAACCTTTTTCATGGTGCATTTATACATATATATATATATGTGTATTTGTATGTATAAAGAAAGTTAGCGCGCTCACGTTTGATGTGAAAAGTTAATCTATTTTCTGATTTTCTTCATTTCTTGGTGTTCTTATATATTTTATAACTTTGCTAAAGGAAGCTAATAACATTTTGGTTGAATATCCGTCCACAGTGAGCTGAAAGATGAGTCTATAACGAATAAACTTACCTCCGATGACTCCGATGCATAAGTAAAGCTGCATCACGTTGGTGCAGAAGGAGGCTGAGATCATGCCGATGGCGCAAAGGCAGCCGCCCATCATCACGATGGGTCTGCAGCCATGTGTGTTGACCAGTATGCTGCTGATGGGACCTGCAGAGAATTAAAAAAAACAAAAACACACATGAATGTTGTATGTTTAAAGTGTGGAGAACTGAAAATGCTGGACATCTGTGATTATCCGTTTAAAGTTGAGTTACAGACTGTTAATTAGATTTAAATCCAGACTTTCAGACATCCTAACTCAATAAGATTTCTTCCAAACTGTTTATTCTGAAAGGTTTTCTCTAAATTTGTTAATTTATGATGTGAGATGAACATATTGATCCTGTGGACCAGTTCTTAGAGATTATTACCCATTTACTCTACCCCTAGAAAAACCGATCCATGCCGAGACCGGTCTGAGTTCGGTTCTGATGACCGTTTACACATCACGCTATCTCGGTTCATCGCCTCCTAGTGACGATCTGCGGTA